GGCGCACCTTAGTCCTCAAGCTGACATCCTTGCTCTTCAACACTTTAAAAAGTTCCTGTGCAGCAGATTTGCCCAATGCAATACATCATCTGATCTCTTGACTGCTGCTTCTGTGATCCAAGTTGATCCAAGAAGACTGATAGTTGATCCAAGAAGAATGAAGTCCTTGACAACTTCAATCTTTTCTCTGTTGATAAGAATGTTGTTTATTGGTCCACTGGTGAGTATTTTTGTTTTCTTGACATTGAGATGCAATCCATACCAAAGGCTGTACTCTTTGATCTTCATCAGTAAATGTTTCAAATCCTCTTTAGTTTCAGCAAGCAAGGTTGTATCATCTGCATATCGCAGGTTGTTAATGAGTCTTCCTACAATTTTCCGTAGTCATCAGAAAAGGCAAACAAATAATTCAACAACTTATTACTGGGGCACAAAAAAAAAAAAATTAAAGAAGTGTAAATGGTAGGAGTTCTGGTTTTTTGTAGGATATTGTAGGATAAAACACTGGACCACAAGGTCAGTTTGAACTGCAAAGTCAGTGTTCAAATCTACCAGCTGCTCCTTGGAAACCCTATACAGGATCACTATGAGTTGAAACGGACTCAATGGCACTAGAAATAAATCATCTTGGATCTTATCCAATGATAGTCCAAAAAGCAAAATACCCTTTTATAATTATTAAATTATTCTAATGTCAAGGTAATTACACTATAAATTACTAAGATAAACATTACTTGAGAGACTTTTATAGTTAGGAGATCTCATGATCTGCAAGGGGATACTCAAAAGAAATTAACAAGCAACATATTTAGGGAAAAAAAACCCATGTCTTTATGTACTCTATGCCCATGAAAGACAGTTATATAAAATTAGATAAAGTTTTATATAAAATATAAAATATATAATTAAAAGAACAGCTTTCTTGTGTGTAATATGTTCCAGAATCATCTTGTACAATTCCTGCCATTTCTCTAAAGGGAGAATGATACAGAGAGTCAGCAATAGGGGAACTAAAACCAAACCGTCTGCCATATTTGTATTTGACTGCTGTCTTGTTCTGAGTCGTGTTGCTTACTTCCTTCTTTCCTGCTGAATGTTTTTTGTTGATAATTTCTTAGTGGTCACCACATATATTACAGTGATTATCATCTGAGCAACAGTTAATATATAATCTTACCATAATAAGTCTGTTGCTATTTTGCTTGTTCTTTCTTCATTTCTATTGCTTATGTTTCCATTAATATCAATATACAACTTCTACTTGATGTTTTTTTGTTTTGTTTTGTTTTTTTACAAGTGCTGTCGAGTCAGTTGTGACTCATAGCGACTCCAAATAGGGTTTCTGAGGAGCAGCTGGTGAACTTGAACTGCTGACCTGTGGTTCAAACCAACCTTGCAGTCCAGTGCTTATCTAACTACAGCGTCACACCAAGACTCCTTAGGGGAACTAGTTTCAGCCAAACTGACTAGAACTAAATCAAGAAATCAAATGATGTTTTGCATTATTTGCGTCCTCTGACTCCCAGACCAGGTGCAGAAACAAGATCCTGTGGTAGGAACTGTGCTGGCTCCATGTCTAGCATTATGTGTAGGGTATGAGAGTGAGGAGCACCCTTGATGTCCTTTCTTTTGTCCTATAATTCAGAGCCAGAACATTGCTTGACTTGTACATAAAGTTTGCTGGAGATGCAGATCAGAAGCAGCCAGTCAGGAAGCACTGGGCCTCTCACCTGTATGTGCCTGAAGCCGGACACGCGTAAAGGCCAGTCATTCCCACCAGCAGTGGGAAGGTTTCATCTCCACAGTCCATTTGGAATGTCATAATCTTGGGGTCTCTGGCCCTAGGGGCCTCCCCCAGGACTCTTCACCCAGGCCAGCAGAGTGCAGTGTGCATTCCTTACCTCCCTTCCCTTGCTTGAGGGGCTCAGTGACCAGGAGTTGGTCAGTGGTGGTGATGGCAGCAGCTGCAGTGGCATGGGGACAGTTCAGTAGGGGGCTGTCGGGCATGTGACAGCTGTGACAGAGCAAGTGTCCTTCCTCATCAGTCAGCTGCATCTGGCAGTCCTCAGAGTGGTGGCACTTGAAGTGATAATCCCCCCATGGATAGCACCTTCACGTTGCCTTTCACAGCTGTCTGACGGGGAAGGATAGGTTGGCTGCAGGCTGCACACTTGTGGCCTTAATTTTTGTGGTAGTCGGTGACATAGTACACCTGGCTGGAGAAGTCCACTGTGAAGGGGTTGCCATCCGGGCACTTGCTGCCAACGATGCGTTGGGAGCAGTCTGGGTGTTAGGACTTTCCTATGCCTTAGGATCTTCCCCAGAATCAAGTGACCAGAGACACAGCATTTCTCAGCTGCCTCTTGAAATCCTGAAAACAAATAACCCTCCTCAAAGTACACAGTCTTGACAAGTTTATTTCTTAAAAGTTGATGTTATCTTGTTTGTGGGATTTAATTATTGTGTCTGTTGTTATTGTTGTTCAGTGCCATCAAGTTGGTTCCGGCCCATAGTGACCCTGTATCGAGTTTCTGAGGAGTGGCTGGTGAGCTTGAAGCACCGACTTTGTGGTTCAAACTGACTTTGCAGCCCAGAGCATTAACCCACAGGGCCACATCAGGACTCCAATTATTGTGTTTATTCCCTGAAAATATTATATACTTGGACCTTATGATTGCCCATGTTTGTGTAGGGATGCAAGTGTTTCCTTAGTGCTCTTGCATTTCCATTTGGAGTACTCCCTTGAGTAATATTTGCAGGGCTGGTCTAGTAGTGACAAATTCCCTGAGCTTTTGTTTGTTTGGGAACATCTGGATTTCTCCCTGTAGACAGTTTTGCTGGGTAAAGAATTCTCTGTTGAAAGTTGTTTTCTTTCAGTATTTTACATACGGCATTCCTCTATCTTCTAGCCTCTGATGTTTCTGGGGAGAAATCTGAACTGCTTATTATGAAAACCCCTTAGTGTATTATATTGCATTTTCTCTTGTTGCTTTCAGAATTCTCGCCTTATCTTTGGTTTTCAAGAATTTTATTAGGATATGGTGTGGAGCCGATCTTTTTGTGTCTTGTCTTATTGGGATTTACCGTAATTGGTCTGAGACATTTGCTCTGATTATATCTTGGAAAATTGTTTCCATGGTTTATTATTGTCTTGGTGCTCTGGAATGCTGATAATCCTAGTGTTATTGTTGTTGTTGTTAAGTACTGTTGAGTCAGTTCTGACTCATCGAGACCCAGTATAGGGTTTCCAAGGAACAGCTGGTAAGTTTGAACCACCAGTCATGTTGTTCAAACTGACCTTGCATTCCTACGTTTATCCTACAGCAATTTCTTAATTTAACCCCATAGTTCTCTTTGAGTTTGTTCATATTTCTTTGTCCTTTTCTCTTGCTTCTCTTGAGACTTGATAAGTTCAAGTTACTTTATCTTTTAGTTCATGTATTCTATCTTCTGTCTGGTTGAAGGTATTGCTCAGTGTTTATCTTGCTTTTTTGGATTCAGTTGTTTCGTTTTTCAGGTCCAGTGATTCTCTTTAGGTTTTAGCTTTCTTTTTTTTCTGTTTTTAAACTCCATGTTGAGCCTCTCATTTTGTTTCACTGTTTGTTATCTGATCATTGCTAGTTTGTTTTTAGTGTTTTTTGCTTTCTTTAAATATATTTAGCACCAAAGTCTGAAAATGATCCATTCTTTGTATTGTTTTGGACTCCATAGGACAAATATCCTCTTCATATTTTGGTTTTCACTGGCTTTCTTCTCTTATGATTTTGTCTTTTACTATTTTTTGTTGTTGAACTTCCATTTTGTCATCTTTGTTTATTTACTTTACATTTTTTGTTCTGTTTTTGTGAGAACTTTTCCTGATTGATTTGCTGGTGCCAAGTACCTGTGAGCAACTGAGAGTCTGGGGCCTGCACCTGGCAACTGCCCAGAACATTCATTATTCTGCCTCCTCAAAGACTCACAGCCATAGGAAGCTTATGGGGTGGCTCCACTCAGCCCTAGAGGATCACTGTGAGTCCCAATTGACCAAGCAGCAGTAGAGTTGGTATCCACTCATCAGTACCACTAGAGGGCACTCTTGTCCTGTGGGTTTTGGATGCCTGATCTCTGGAACTCAAAATGCCTGCCTAGGAAGAGCAGAGAAGTGTAGCTAGCTGCAGTCACTGACATCAGACATAGGGCTTGACTTTCCTGTGTCAAAAGTAGGGGCTGTCTGTGTTTTCCTCTCCCTTCACAGTTCACCCACAGTGTTTCACTGTGGGTTGTTTCTGTCTGTGTCATTGTCAGTCTGAAGAATTCCACTGGCCCTGCTGCCCTTACTGTTTTTCCTGAACTGAGTGCCCCTGTGCCTTGGCCCTCAGTGAGATTCACTTTCACCGTCTTGTAGTACCACAGCCACCCTGAGTCCATTCCCAACATTCTGGTCCTCAAACTCTTGCAGCCAGTTTGTTCTACCTTGAAAAATAGGGGCTTACTCAGATTAGCATCTTTTCTCTGCTCCCTGTTTGAGGTGTTTCCCCAAATGGCGTCAGTGAGTCAGCACTCCTGATGTTGGTGGATAGGTTTTCCCACGTTCTATGCCAACCCTATGCCTCCTCTCCCTGGCTTCTGAACTCATCCTGATCCCCAACACCTCAGCTGTCACCTGGAGTTCTTCCATCCCTGTCTGTGCCTGTTTTCATTTGTTGTCCAAGGGCTAGTTGCTGGGGAGTAAATGAGAACCTCTACTCACTTGGCCATCTTGCTCTGTGCCATCCCCAAGCTCACTTTATATAGATTGCCATCTTTTAAATAGTAGATTGGTAAATCTTTATTGTCTTTTTTTTCTTTGATGACTTCAAGTACTGTTTTAAAAATACTTTGCTCATCTTTTTTGTCTTCACTAGGAGGTTTGGTTTGAATGATTTTATCTGCTATGATTGCAAGTGGGAATTCTCATACTGTTTGAATTTTGAGCACTTAGTATATGTTTAACCATAATATTTGGTTCTATTTAAAAGGTTCTGAGGCAAAACCACCTGGATGATGGTCTTCGGCACCTATCTGTAAGAAGATTTGAATCATTTAATCTGTTTTCAGTAACAGAAGCCCCCCAAAAGGAGACAGAAGAGGAAACTGGTACATGGGTCCAATATACAAGTGTCTTCTATCCTGAATACAGTGTCTCCTTAAGGTAACCATTGCTGTAGTTAAGCTTTGCATTTTTAAGTATTTTCTCCTGTAAAAAAATATATTTGAATCAGAATGTCATCATTCTGTTGAGTTTACAGGCAATCTTTATCAGAACATAGGTTTTGCAACTTAGTATTGGGAGTCCTGGTGTGGCACTGTAGGATAAGTTTGGTTTGAACTGCAAGGTTGGTAACTCAAACTCACCAGCCATTTTTTCAGAAACCCTACCCTGTACATAGTCACTATAAGTTGGAAGCAATTCAATGGCACATAACGACAACTTTAAAAAATCCTGTTGCTCTGACTGGGTGTTGCTATATTTTCAGAACTAGAGAAAAAAATCCTCAGGAATGCAGTGACATGTGAGCTAAAGTGGGTTGTAAATCAAAGAATTTATTTAATCATTTGATCCTAGCATTAGATTAGGAAACAAATTAAGTCTCTTTTTGAGGCATGCATAAAAGGCAGAAAGGAAAAACCAGGATTTTTCTAAACTACTCTATAAGTAGTAGTTCCCTAAAAAATAATGCATTGGCATTTTACCCATTCAAGTTCTATCACTTTCAGAAGTAGAGTTTTAAAAATAGGAGGAGAAAATTCCACTGGAAACATTGATATTGTGAGAAGAACCTAGACTTTTTTCACTTTGAAAATCATTAGAAAAGAAGTAAGAGAGTTTAAAATGGAAGTAACAAGATACCACTCTTACTGAATTCATTTTCTTTCACAACGATGGTCTGGCATGTTGCAATATTACTGTAGGTGTTTGAGTTTACACAACCTGCCTTTTCTGACAGGATTTCATGTTTTCAGAGAGCAGAGCAGATTTATAGTAGCTATAAGACAAGTAAATCACATA